CATTTCGGAGATTAGCCGAAACAACGAACAGACAGACACAGAAATTGGTCAAGCCATTTCGGAGATTAGCCGAAACAACGAACAGACAGACACAGAAATTTCAAAAAATTGTGTTTTTGTTTAGCTCAGATGTTTAGAGCTCGCTGTAAATACCACAGTATGCGAGTTCGATCCTCGCCGGCACCAATGTAATGGAAATTGTTAATTGCAATTTTAAGTGCTGATTTACCACGTGCTCGGTAGTGAACGAAAACATAGTGAGGAAACCTGCTTGTCTGAGAAATAAGAAAAAATATTTTCGAAGGCATGTGAACTTCGCTAACACTCATTGGGGCAGTGCGGCGGATTTCCTTGCCCTAAAATCCTCTCAAAAATTTTTTATGTTTTGGTGGGATAAGGTTAATTTTTGAAAAACAGTTTTACCTTGCTTTTAATCTTCACTGTCTTCATTTTTAATGTAAGCTATAAGAATTACATGTCGCCAAGTTAATTGGTTCAGTTAGTTTCAAGTACAGTACTTGGAAATAACCGCACCAACTACTTTGTCGATACTTTTTCGACACTAGAGGTCGCTAATATCCAGTTTCCAGAATTTTTTATTTCTTAAACGCCTAGTGCTTGCTACCTTTGTGCCGAATTCATAGTTTCTAATTAACTTATGAGGCTTGCTTATCAAAAATATAACTTTTTGATAAGCAAGTAGTTCAAGAACCACAATACTTTTATTGATGAATTTGAGATTCGTGGTTCTTGGAGATCGCAGTGTGGAGTGACCCCCCATTATATGGAACGTCCTGATGAAAAATACAGATGATCCAGAACATTGCTTTGTGGCAATCAATTGGGGTGAAATTGTGATAGGCTGTAAAAATAATGATGATCATGATTAATTTTACTGGTATCATTGTTTGCTTTGAATAGATATATAGATTTAGAATAGATTATGGATGGGTTCTGTTATTCATTATTGGCACCATGAGCCCGTACAAGTCGACTGCTTGATATTGGTCTCTCCTATTGAAAGGACTTCACAAACCACAATAGGTAAGCGGGTTCAGGATCGCAGGACCAGGCGTGTAGTACCATTGATGCTGATAACCGTCCATGCTACCATATAATACCATCACATATAAGAAGCCGTAAGCTCTCACAGGTATAGTCGCCATTTACGACACCCATGAAAGACTCTCTTCACTACGGTAAATAATAAGCTTAGTATAATACAGTGTTAATTTATCTCTCTACTTCTAGAAATACAACAGGGGTGTCTTGTACGCGATCGTTTTGTAGCGCACCTCACGCACTTAGAGCATCTGAGGCTTATGCGATTATTACGTCATTATATTTTGTTAGCATCGACGTCCTAGATTGAATTAGAGAAATGACCTAGTTTTGAAATATGTCACAAAGATGGCTCATGCTGTAGAATTAGAAACGAAGCAAGTGGTTGAGTTGGAGGCTGAATAATTTGCTGAAAGAACTAGGAGAACAGTGTCTCATTAAACATTAGTGAAATGTGAAGAGAATCGATGTAATAGATCGAGCGCAAGGCGGTCGGGTGAGGTGTCCGGGTGGGAGCGGGCGGCTCGGCTCGCTTCGGGTCGCGTTCCGGACGGCCCGAGGGCGGCCCGAGGGCGGCGGCCGCGGCAGTCGCGCGCGAGCACGTGCGGACACCGATTCCGCGCCGCCGCGGCCCAACAGTCCCGTGCCCCTGTGACCTCCAGCTCGCTCAATATATCCCAACATTTTTGACACAAAAACCTAACCGTTATATACATAAATATTTAAAACAACACAAGAAACTCTAAATACACTAACAGGTCGAACATCTTAATAGTGTTCCCAAAATATTGGTCAATACCAAAGCCTTCAACATAATTGCTTACATCATTGTAATTTCGGCGGGAAACATTATCACATTAATCGTTGATGTTAATGAGCTTTCACCCGCTTTATGAAAGGTATGATAATAAGATTATACTTAAACATCAAACTTGTAGCTTGATCAAGTTATTAAATTGGAAAATAAGTGGGACAGATTGCCGATTAGGAGCACAATTTTGAAGAAAAAATATTTATTATATTTATAATTTTGATCAAATCAATAAAATTTTAGATTTGTTGAATATAAATTTTTTATGTAATTTGAGGCTACTGAAATGGACCGTCGTTTTAAGTTCAATATAAAGAAATTAATTATAAAATATTTTTAAATATTCCTAATGAACAGAAAAGAAATTCATTTTACTATTTTACATTGAACATGCGCGGATTTTCGAGCTTTGGTTTTCAATTTGTAAAGCGCTAAAATTTAGATGAATTCAAGGGCATCTAGATACTCTACATTCGCATAAAGGGATAGGTACTTGTGTGTATTGCGCTCACATTTAATAAATTAAACGATTTTGATGAATATGAAAAATGAAAAAATAAGTGAAGGTTTGGAAATCTTATCAAACCATATTTAAAACGATATAATTATTTATTAATATGATTGAGTCTACCTTATAAAGATATAATACAATAATGAGTCAGATGTAATTTTTGAAGTGCTAAGAAAGTAGATTGACAAGATTATAAGCGCGTTTTCTAAAACATGAATCCAGTCCACTGACTACTTGTAGGGTAATTAAATTATAAAACAACTAATACAAAAACTAATAACAAAAAATTATTATTTTCCAATTATAACACACTTATAAGTGTTTAAGATTAAAAATAGAGGCTTAATACTGAATGTGCTTAAAATTATAATATTTCTTTAGAAGTTTTATGGAGTATATATCATTATAATATACCTACTCAAAGGCTATAAAATAAGTCTTTTATAATAAATCATACATTATCTTTAAACAACATGGTCACAACTAATAGCCATATTTGAATTTTGTCTCTCTATAATCTTATAGAAATAAGGCTGCGTTCAGGTGGGATTGCCTAATAGAAAGGAATTACAACGATTTCATTTCTGTTTTAAAAGTTCTTATTCCAACTTCTTGAAGGTACTCGTAGATACGATGAGCGGAGTGTGCTTCTTCATTACCGTAAGGCTTCAACCACTCTGCTACTATTTGAACGTATTCTTTAAGAATTCGTATGTACCATGGGCCCGTTATTTGAACGTGTAACAGAGCTAAGCTTCGAAAACTTAATAATTGCGTGCAGAGGCTTACTGAACCTTCATTAAATACAGTGGTCATTTCCATTGTATATATAGACAATGCCTGTCTCTTATTTTAAATATGTCCCACTCTTAGACAAAAGTTAGCCTTGTCTGTAATCTTTCTTTATTCTAATCATATTACCTATGTGGGAATACCTTTGAATTTTCTAAGTTGTAAGGTTTTCAAATAGCTCTCTGACGTTCACTCTTCACACCACTTCTTTGAAATTTTATGTCACTTGTTATAGAAGTAATGTTTTGTACTCGTAACTCTAATTTTGTACTTCAGCAACTGTAATAGGATTTTTGCGAAATAATTGTCAAACTTTTATAACTCGATTGCTTCTTAATTTAATGATGTAAGTACCTCTTCATGATGTACAATCTTTCATAGTCACCTTTTTGTGTTTCGGACGTTCTTCTTTTGGTTTAGTTTCGTTTCGTTTCGTGCGTACTTCAGAGCAACTGTAGGGGCATTTTCATTAAAATTTTTAACAACGAATTAATAACTTACTTTTGACATAATTACAAAATTAAGTGAATTTTAAAGTTTAATTACACTTCGACGTCATATACTTACCATACAAAAATAATTCTTATAAGAATACTTCAAATTTTGAAATGATGCCAACGAGTAAAAATTAAACAATTAACTCATAGTTTATAAAGCAATATTTCATGGTCACGTTACTAAAACGTCATGAGGTTTACCATTGTCAACATTGAATTTAGTTGTGTTGTTAGTGTTTACGTACATGAGGGCATTAATATGTACATGCGTTCGCCATGTCTACTAGACGGCTTCGTTAATGAACGGATATCGGAACAATGTTTCAGCGTGTAATTTATTCATTACACAGACGTCCTCGATCAGGCAGACACTAGCGGAAAGTCTCCGCTTAATGTTTTCTGTACCTTGCTGCTTTAAATTAGCAAAGTTTACTCGCTACACTCGAGGGGTTTTCTCGTATTATTTTAATCTACGTTCAATATAGCATAATATAAGCCCAGTTACTTATAAATATGAAATTAGCACTAAATATTATATTTTTTTACATTTATTAGATCATGTAATTCTAAAATTGCCAAGTGTGGACACATTCTAAATTCCAACGCATCTAATTTGTTTAAGAACGCGGAAAATATATTTACATGTATTGTATTATTAAGTGTTTATATTTGTGCTACATGCAAAATTATTTGTATGAATAGCATAGTAACGTGAAAGAATAGCATAGAATATCCATTAGTAATTATTTTGTAAAAATAGTAAAATATTTTTTCAGATATCGATACGTGACTGAGAGGAAACGAAAAATCTGATTCGTGCGAGAAATATAATATATCATGATAAGTAATTGGTAAACATTTTGACAGTTAAATGGAGAAAACAATGCATTTGCAAAACACTTGTTGTGTGTGTTTAATGCCTCCATGGAGGTTTCCGGATTTATCGGAAGAGAAATTGTACTTGGCCTATACCGAACGTCAAAGGCAACGGGCAGTATTACGCTTTCTTATAGTCGGAGTATTATTTCAAATATTTGCTGCTCTTGTACCCGGCGAGCGCGATCTGACCTTCGCTTATGTTTCTGTAGCAATTGCATTGCTGATAAATTTAACACTAGCGGCTACGTATGTTATTTTTCGCCGTGCTCGTTATGCATTAAATCACATCGCGTGGTTCGTCATCTGGACTCAGCTGCTTGTTAGCACGTCCCGTCGCCTCGAAGATTCATATAATGAGTTACTCGGATGGGCTGCGGTGCTGCAATACTTTACCATTGCAACATTACCCTTTCATTATATTGTGCTATTACTATACAGCATATTCTCAATGTCCGCTTATCTCTTAGTCCAGTACTACCATTATGTCACATCTGAAAGAAGACTACCTGAAGGTATATTTCATCAGGTATGTTATACCAATATTTTATTTTTCAATAACATATATTATATTGTATTCTAAAAGATTATATTTTAACAGCAATTAGTAAACGGGGGCTTATTACTTAGTGCTACGCTTTTGGGAGGAGTTGCCTACATTGTCGGAGAACGGCAACAGAGGAACTCCTTTCAGGAAACAAAACGGAGCTTACGCGATAAGCTTACGATCGAACAACAGAGCAAGGAACAGGTGTGTAACTGTGATATTTAAAGATTAAGTACATTTACAGGATCTATGCTGTCATAAATAAATATCAAAATGTTTTAGGAACGGCTATTACTGTCTGTACTTCCTGAACATGTTGCTGTACAAATGCGAAAGGATTTGGGTCTCATTGACACGCAGTTTAAAAAAATTTACATGTCACGTCATGAGAATGTAAGGTGAGTGATATTTTACAAAAATATAAATCAATTAAAATATTTTATACAATCGTGTAATCGTGTACACTCGGCACCCTACATAATATAGAATGTACTGTTGGTCACAGACCCTTTGTGTAAAGTAAAAATACCCTTCGCATTGCTTATATTATGTCCACTTTGATTTCGTAGTTATGATGAGTTCCTCATTAATTTTCTCTTTAGTATTAAATGTCATGCAGATCGAAATCAAAATCAGTCCGGAGCTAGTATGGTTTGTAAAAAATATTTTTGTTTCATGCCAGTATCCTATATGCGGACATCGTCGGCTTCACAGCAATTTCCTCTACCTATTCGGCTCAAGACCTAGTTGCGATCCTGAACGAGTTATTTGCGCGATTTGATCGTCTTGCCGAGGTACACAAATTAAACTACTTCTACATTAAAAGACAATCTTGAGGTTTATATATATCTAAGTTATTTTGTTCAAAGAAATACAACCAACTGCGAATAAAAATCCTTGGCGATTGCTACTATTGTATCAGCGGTGCACCATTAGAGCGGCCCGACCATGCAGTTCTATGTGTTCATATGGGATTGTCTATGGTGAAAGCTATTCGGTAAGTATTAATTGACTTATTTCTTATTATTGATTGTGAGAATAGTTTAATGCGACAATTATTCTTTAAGAAATCCTAAGCGGATCAATCAATTATCTTTAAAAATGATTAACAAAATTAGACGTTACTTTGCGGAAACCCATTATAATTAAGATGTTCAAAATTAATAACCTAATATCCGCGTAATAAAATAAAATGATGTGATCGAGTTCCTACATGTCTTAGCTGGTCGTCATTCCATCTATTAGGGGGTTGCTGTATGTATGTATGGGGAATGTATTTCGCTTACCCTCCCCTGCATATGTTTGTTTTGTTAGAATCACTGGAGAACATTAGCTCTATGCACAATACTATATTTTAACGTGGTAGAGCCACGCTGCAACTATATAATGGTTGTAATACGAATAAGTCGGCTCAACTTGGGCAGGACTACGCTCTCACAGAACACCAGCGTAAAATAGCAACTCAATTCTACTGTATTTCGTATGGTGAGCGTAGAGAACCGGAGATCTTTTTTACTGGAAACGAGGCATTCCATTTCATTCTACAGGGGTTACAACGTATCTACATTTTGATTCTTAATTGAGGATAAATGTAATTGGTCAGAGCATTAACTTACCAAAAGGTGGACCGTGTACTCGTTTGTCACCATTATTTTATAAAAAAATATGTTCAATGAACTTAATAATGTTTCCAAATAGATAGGTTTTGAGATGAAAATGGACAAGAAAAAGATCATGCGTAACGTAATTGCACACATATGCAGCTGGTAGTCTTCAGAGGACGGATTCAACTCGGCTGGGCAGAGATTGGGAGGTTACTAAATATTATACTTCTCGTCTGGTGCGTGCAGCCAGTGAGACAACTACCATGTGGCGTAGTTGCTAGAGATAAAACATATTGGTCTGATAGTATGTTTTTCACGTGCTGGTTGAAAGATATCACGGCCTTTTCTTCGGCTCACGGCTCCGTCAAACCACTCATAAAATCCTTGATTTTTTGGGTAAAATGAAGAAATCGCATAGTACGAGATCTCAGGGTCTACCTTTTCAGAAGCCGAAAATGAGTTTTTATTGTTGCTGTGCGCGCCGAAACATTATCATGGTACAATAGGATGCCACTTCTTGGTAGTTTTCCCTCACCTTTTTAAAGACATTGGGCAAACAAATGGCTATGTACCTCTTAGCATTAACTGTCTTTTGCCCATCATGTAGTATCGTGTAGAGAGGACCAGTCTGAAAGAAAGAAAACGCAATATTTTTTTGCCCACGTTTCTTGCCTGCCTCAATTTTGTTCATTTACTGTCGCCTTCGAACACTCATACAAAATACTGTTACTTTCTTTCCGGAATGAAACAATATATCCGTGTTTCATTTCCTATCACGACGTTATACACAGCATTTGAATCCCGTGATCATATTTTAACAACAACTTTTTACACCAGTCAACTCGAGCCCGTTTTTGTTGTGGGGTAAGTTCATGAGGAATCCAGCGGCAACAAAGTTTCCTTAGTATTAAATAAAGATATAATCATTTTAAATTTGGCTCATACCAATATTAATGTCCTCTAATCTGCTCATAGGTGATGCGTCGGTTTTCTTCGATTAGTCGCCTGACAGCAGTAACATTTTCCTAAGTGTTCGCAGTCGCGGGTTGACATCCACTTATTTCATCATGAGAGAAACACGGACACAATCAAATTCTGCATACCAACGCCTTAGAGTGCTCAAATCAGATGTTTCCCTGCTAAAAGCATTTTAAAGACAAGCAGTGCAATCTTGCGGCGGGAGTGAACTTTTAAAATCATAAAAAGTCATCGCCCTAAGATCTCTTCGCGTTAATCCCATTTTTGCTACGGATGACTAACTTCAACTTGTGATAAAAAAGAAATAACACGTGATTTCTCGCCCAAAATTATTTTAATCAATATGTTATGAAATGCATAGATACATTTATACGTAGAACTCCCAATTACTTCAGTGTGCCCAAATGAAATTTGATGATTAAAATCTTCAGGCGGCTATTTATTTTGATACAATCCAAACAAACGTTTTACTGGTTGTTACGTTTTAATACGTAACTTATTTTGACACAGGTATGTACAACAAATAACCAACTCTCCGGTGGACATGCGTGTGGGCATCCATACAGGAGCAGTGCTTGCTGGTGTGCTGGGTCAGAGGCAATGGCAATTTGACGTGTACTCGCGCGATGTGGAGCTTGCAAACAAGATGGAAAGCAGTGGAATGGCGGGGTAAGATTTGTTTTTTTTTTTTAATATTATTAATACTGAAACCTTTGTTTGCCAAAATATGTAGCTTTACTGCAACATTTGTTTATAAGTGCTTTGACCTATACTTGAACCTTTGTTTGCCAAAAAGTGTAGCTCCATTGAAATACGTACTAAATATTTTATTTTTAATAAAATATTTAAAAAATATTTTATAGTTTTGTATTTCAAAACGTTCAGATGGAGCAGTAGAACAATCGTTTTTTAAATAAAAATAAAAAAGTTTTTATAATCAAAAAATTAAGTTAATTACATATCATATTTTGTAATGCTTAAATATGTCTTTTTACAAGAGCTGTTTAGGAAAATGAAAGTAGTAGTGAAATAATATTAAATCAATTTAAACTTTACTGCTATTGCTTCGATACCCTTTTATTTCAATGTACATTCTGCTAGTAAATAATGTTCATTCAGCTAGCAAAGCTTTTTAGGAAATAAGAAATACAATGCCGGTCCAATAAATACAAAATTGGCTGGGGTCGATTCTATGTGCCCACTCTCAATTTCGTATTTTGTGGCTATTTTGCAAGTTTGCGTCTTTTGTTACCAAAAAGTTGCAGAATTAAATGAAATTAAAACTTAATTAGGTGCTACGTATCAAATAAATTTGGTTCGGTGTCGATATCAATAATTGTTCTCGAGATATGCGAGATGAAAAAATTTCATTTAAATACAAATGTGTAGTATTTATACTCGATTTCACAAAATGATAAACATTTATTTTACAGTTCTGAGTATTCCAAGAAAAGAGGTAAAGACATCACTCTTTTTGTTTTGGTATTTTGAAGTAGATATTGGCATAATGGCTTTTCTGGGTAATACCGTATTTGTATTAAGGATTACCGTTGTGTTATGATGTTAGAAGCACCAGCCTCTAGCTACGACAGCTAGAAGATAACCAGACAAGTGGCTGCTGACTTGCCATTTTGCTGACTCACATCCTGCAGGCCGCTAGGGCACAGCCCACAAAATAAAGACATAATGCAAACTCACATAAAATTACTTTTACTTGATTACAATAGGCATCAAAGCAACTTAACTTAAAATTAGAAATAACGCCCCAAAGATTGGGAATGCCGCCACTAAAACAACGCAGAAAATTAGTACCGAACCTTTAATATTATCGTATTGGATAATCTTCTTAGAAGTTTTGACCACATTTATCGCATTTAAAAAAAAATAGCTTCTATCTAGGTTGTATCAAAACAACTGCACCGCATTTTTGAACGATTTTAGAAAAAATTAAATAGAGCTGTGTATTTTAGAAAAAAATCTAACAAACTAACTATAGATTGAACCAAGCTTTTCTTAAAAGTGTAACACATTTTATGAGGGCTTTGAGCGTGATGAAAAACAACGGTTAGAACAATGTTTGACGAAAGTGCCAAAGATGATGCGACCATAATAATTTTACTCCAAAAGTTTAAAATTCAACTCTATCGTGCACTAGAACGTACTAATATTCCTAAAGGATGAAGATTTAAAGTTTAGCTGTCGTAGTTTCGATTAATAACGGGGCCTCGTTACGTGGAAAATGCCCGTTCATATCTTCTTAAATTGTTAATAATGATTTTGTCACTTATGTATTATTATAATATGATGTTTACTTATTATAACTGACGTTCAAGGGACATCTAAATTGTTGCTTGTACATCTTTATTTTAAGACAAATCCATCCAGTGGTTTTAATGATCTTTCTTTTATGCTACATCGCGCGTCGGTGCCGCGATGACTATAATACCATTAGCAAATTGAAGCTAGGTTTATTGTTTTTTATAGAATAAGAGTGACAAACGAGCACAGAGTTCACCTGATGGTAAGTGGATGCTATGGCCCATAGACATCTACATCTATCTTCGATTAAGAATTAAAATGTAAATGCGTTGCCACTCCTGAGGTTAGTCCTCTAGTGGTGGTGGTTAGAGGTGGAATGCCTCGTTTCCAGTAAAAAGGGTGTCCGGTTCTCTACACTCACCATACGAAACACAGCAGCTTTGTACCTGCTATTTTACGCTGGTATTCTGTGAGAGCATGTTCCTACCCCGGTCGAGCCGACCCATTCGTGCTTTAACCATAACCCTTTGTACTGGAAACGAGGTATTCTTTTTATAGAATAAGAGTGATAAACGAGCAAACAGTCCACCTGATGGTAAGTGGATATTGTGGCCAGCAGACATCTACATTTATCTTTTATTAAAAATCAAAATGCAAATGCGTTGTCAGCCCTGAGGTTGATCCTAGAGATGGAATGCCTCGTTTCCACTAAAAAAGGGTCTCCGGTTACTCACTACACGCACCATACAAAACACAGCAGCTATTTAGCTGCTATTTTACGCTGGTATTCCGTGAGAGCATGTTCCTACCCCGGTCGAGCCGACCCATTCGTGCTGCAACCACAATATAGCTGCAACATGGCTCAACCACGTAAAAGATAGGTGCATATTTCAGCTAAGTCCCCAGAAGTGAAAACGCATCTGCATATGGATTCCAATTGAGAATATATGTCTCACAGCAGACACTTACTATCAGGTTGGTGTACTCGTTTGCCACTGTTATTCTTCATTACTATCTTCGATTACTATCAGGTGGACTGTGTGCTCGTTTGTAACCCACATCCTATTAAAAAAATTGTTTGATGATCTCTGGAACTTCCCGTAAATTTTAATAGTAAAGTGCTTCAAATTCTACTTATTATGACGTTTTTGAGCTCGAAGAGATTTTGGATAACAAAGAACAATTTTTTTCACAAAATTACAAAAAAATTGCAGAAAGTTATTTTAAAAAACACTTTTTCGGGTTGCATGTATAGGACAACTCAACCGATTTGATATATTGTCACGGCACTCAACGTGATTTTTGTAAATAGCAATCGATTGCAATTGTTAAATTACAAAATACTAGTCTTTGAAAATTAAAAATACTCGAATTTTTGAGGTTTTCTCAGAATCAACCGTGACGATTCGGTCTAAATTCACAGAAAATCTAAGTTCAGCAAGGCTCTTTTATATGCCGAAAACTGCTTTTCGTTCGGACATGTTTACACACACACACACACACACACACACACACACACACACACACACACACACACACACACACACACACACACACACACACACACACACACACACACACACACACACACACACACACACACACACATATCCCCCACACATACGTATATACGGATATCATCGCAGAAATGGCTAGAATAGCTTCCTAGGACCTCGAAACGTCGTGATCTGATGAGAACTCGTATTTAAAAAACAGGGGTAAACTTCCTTTTTTGAAAATCACTGACGATTTACAGCCTATTCAAATTCTATGAAAGAACTATAAGGATAAAAATTGTAATATTTTTTGTTTTATTAATTTGTATCCTTTATCTCCCACGAGTATTTGTTAGAGGCGACGCCTTGAAGTATGTGATAGTAATATTATAGAGAATCGTATTCGAGCGAATATAAAAGTTATTTATATCAAAGGAATTATATGAAAGGAATGGCAAATAATGCTTTTAGTGAATCTTGCTGTGTAATATGTGGAAACCATGATGTTTTTACGGCCCAACAAATTATTTTCTACGAGCTAGCCTTATGGGCACGTGGCATATAAATATTCGTAAGAACGTGTAACCACGCAGTGTAATTAAGGCTAAATTATTTTTAGAATACGATTTCATTTATTTACTTTATTACGTAAACATAGGAAAATACAAACAGAGTAACAATAAATTTTGCTATTTCTGTCAAACAATAGAGAAATGTTATCATTTTTCTATTCATAAAATCTCTAGAAATGGCATGTGTTGAGTTTGAGCACCTCATTGTTGTGAGCGTCTACACACTCCCATGTTCTATATATGATACTTTTGAAAAAAATTATAGACGAAATTTTTGTTAAGCTTAATAAACAGAATAAATTAATTGTTATATGTGGATAATTTAATATCAGTCTCCTTGAAGCTTCCTCCACCAATATTAAATTTAGATCATTGTTAAATCATATGGTCTTTTTAATTTATTTTTGGAGCCAACGTGTATTGCTAAATCTAGTGCAACATGTATAGATAACATTTTTGCAAATGTTAAGCCGTTGCATAAATGTATAATTCAAAAATGAGTTCTGATCACTGTGGACAATAATTGGTTTCGTTACCTTAAGTTCACAAAAAGCAAGTAGATGAGAAAATTGTTTGTTCCAGTAAGTGCACGTCGCTTGGAGAAGTTTAGAAGTAACATTGTGAAAAAACTTCCATCACTTCCATTCTAAAATAATCCAGAATTTTTTGTATGGAATTTGCAATGAATTTGATAGTACTTTTCCTTCTAAAACGTTCTCCTTGAACAATTGCAAGGCATTCAAAGAATGGTGACAGTAGGAGTACATAGGAGCAGTCAAAGGTTATATGAACTTTACCATGAAAGGTCATATAATCCTAGATCCTAATCGAATTTAACGATTGTGTAAAAAATGTTTCAATAATATTTAAAAGAGTGTGCTCTATAGCCAAGTTTTTGCATTTGAGCAACAAAATTAAAACGACTTCTAATGAAATGTAAATTCTAACAAATAGTATAATTAACAGTGAAACTGGTAACGACAACTCTTGCAAATCAAATTACCAGTTAAGTTTTAACAACATAAAATAAATAAATCAGATCAGGATGTTGCAAGGGTTTTAGAAAAATATTTTCCTGGTATACCGATCTTAACTACTAAGTCACCGAATTCTTCTCCTGTCGTCGCCGAATCATTACTTAAACACGATGTATATAAATGCATGTACAAAGAATTTTACATTTCATAAAGTATCATCAAAAGATATTATAAAATATTTTAAAACTATTGATATTAAGAAATCCGCAGATCTGTGAGGGATTTCCGTTACAGTTATTGAGTCTATAATAGATACAATCGCACCTCAACTATCTATTATTTTTAATAGTAGTATAGAGTCTGGT